GAGGCGGAGCCTGCCCAGCGGCTCGGCGGCGTCTCCTCGGGTTACGCTATTGTGATTGGAAACCCGAGCGCTGCCCGCCCCACAGCCTCACGCAATCCCCTTCAAGGACACAGGCCCACGTCTCGGCCAGCCCTCCTTGAGTCACTTACAGGAAGGGGCTACCCGCAGGGCTCCACAGCGGGGCTTTCTTAAGCAGCTAGGACTGGCCAGTACTTTGCCGCTTGGAGCCAAACCTCTCTGCCCTTCAGCTGCATGAATGAGTCTTTATAAACTCAGTCCCCACCTATTAGAGTTGAAACCAACTTGTATGACCCCAAACCTCCCCTCCCCCCGCCCCCGCTCGTTTATGGCTTAACCTTAAACAAGCCGTTTTTAAAAAGCCTCCTTCACTTGTGACCAATAACTTCAGAGGTAGCAAGGAACTGTTAACAGCAACAGAGCACTGGCAGGCTCCCCAGCTTTGCAACATCAGTGCCTCAAGTACTAGTGGTACAGGTCACAGCTGTGTGAGATGGAAGTATTACTACCCCGATTTTACTGAGGATGGTGTGTGTGTGTGTGGGGGGGTGGGACAGACTAAGTAAGCAATTTGCTCAAGGTCACCCAGAATGGCTGTGGCAGAAGTGGAAAGAATTCTGCCAAGTCACAAACCTGTGTCTCATTCGTCATCTGTTACTATTTGTATTCCTTCTGGTAGTGCGTAGGGATCCCACCTGAGATGTGGGTCCGGTTGTACTAAGCATGGTACAACCTTCCAGAGACAGTGCATGCCCTATCCAGATACTTCTTATGACCTCCATCACATAATGTCTGATTACCTCAAAAGTAATTATTGAATTTCTTCTCATGGCATGCTCGTGAAGTATTAGCCCTATTTTCAAAGGGGGGGGTCTTAGGTTAAATTACTTGCCTAAATTTACACAGGATGGCTCTGCAGTGCCTAAGATCTAAGATCATCCCATGCTTCTCCTTCTGCAACTGTTTAGCTTGCCTATGCCTGCACCTCTGTTTCTGACATGTTTTGGCAAGTATATGTTTACAGCTGTGGCCCTACCACTGTATCAGAAGCATGTGTTAATTTTTGTTGTGTATATTTGTCCAACTTGCGATATAAGATCCTTAAGCAGGGAATCCAATCACCCTCTCTGTCTTCTTGTAAATAATTAAACATATCAATAGCTCTCATTGAATAATAAACTAGTAAATCACTTGTAAAATGAGATGCCTTAGCTGTGAGTTATATTTTTGTTCCCACATAAAAACATATGTAGGTGTATTATTTATGCATATATAAACATTTACATTATTTCCCAAATACTATTTTCTCAGTGGATTTGCTTCTCCTTTCTGTGATTGAGAAGAGGAAGGGAGGGAGGACACCAGACCTAATGTACATTGCTGGCTCCTCTACAGGACTGGAGAGACTTGATTTCTATTCAGGCATAACTACTTGTGAGTGATCACTGAGTAAGGGCTTCCAAGCTTCTCCCCCTCTTAAACAAGACACCGGAGTAAAAGTAGATGAATTTAAACCTTCTTTTAAATATGGTGCTTGGCACAGCAAAAAATTCCAAGGAGCATTAGAAAACCCTTGTGCCTGTCCAGGTGGTGTAGTGTGTGGTGGTTTGGATGAAAAATATAATAAGACCATTCAGTATTCAGTCCCTGGACTGCTGTATCTGGTTTTCTGAAATAAAGCTGTGATTGAGTTTCATCGGGCAAAGAATGATGATGGGAAGGGCAGTGAAATTCCAGGCAAGGAAAAGGATGATTTAGATGGGCACAAGTGAGACATGGATAACTGAACTTTAAGGAAATTGGATATAAAAAGGAACAAGTAAGAGGAGAGATCAAACCAAGGTGGCTCGCTCGTGCACATCAAGTTTCTGTATTTCTATTGTCACCCTATGAATTTTCATCATTAAATTGTAAATTCTTTGGACTGGAGTCTTTTTCTTATTCTAAGCACAGCATTCACCAGAATTAAAACAATATTATTTAAACAGAAGAGTAACTTGTCTTATGCCAACCATTAGCAAGACCTTAATAATTTTAGAGGTGACAAAGATGTATTATTTGACATTTATTATATAGATAGTTGGTTAGAGATAAGATGCCTCATTGTGCTTGGCTCTATACATATATCTAGAACAGACAGTCCAGGCCCTCAAGAACTTATAAATGTGATGATGGTGGGGGATGGGGGAGGGGAACAGAATCAGAGAAAGAAGAGTACTATCTGAATTTTTTACAGATGGGGGGAACTTAGGCACAGACAAGACCATGGATGGGGGGAGAGGGAGGCAAAGAGGGTCATTGCCCCAGGGCTCAGAGATTCAAAGGGGCCCAGAGTTCCTGGCCAGCAGCAGTGGCCAGAACCCCAGACCCCTTTGAATTGCCACTGGAGTGCTACTCAGATGATGGGAGTGGGAGGGCACTGCAGTCTGGATAGCGTTAAGAGCTGACTGCCCTTGGCCTTTGCCCCTTCCCAGAGCATGCCCTACCATAGTTCATTCCCATTTCCTCTTCCATCCCCTCTGAACAGCTGATTGTAGCAGGTGGGAAGTGCTGAGAAGGAGGTGGAAAAGCTGATCTGTGGGGCCCACCAGTGAGTGGGTAGTGCTGGCGGAACAGGGAGGAGCTGATGAAGGTAGGGACTGCTACTTTTTTTCTGTGGGTGCTCCAGCCCCAGAGCATCCTCAGAGTCAATGCTTATGTGATCATGTGGATCAGAGTTTTGGTGCAGATAGGTCTGTGCCTCAAAGTTTGGGTTCAAAGTGTGCAGTCATTAAAGAAAACTGAAAGGAAAATGTAGCAGGTCCAGGGGTTGCAATCCTCTTGCAAGATATAAGCTTATCTGATAGCTCTGGCTTATTATTTTTTTAAGAAAAAACGGTAGCGATTAAACATAAAAAAGCAGAGAGACATGTGAAGCGATATGCAGCACTGTGTTTACATTACACACACAGCCTTTATTTATCTTTAGTATTTATGACCATGACAAACTACCATATTGATAAGTGACTGACAATACAAATCATATATTAAATAATATAGACGTAGTTTTTCACTAGGGCACACATACCCAGCAGTCAAATTAAGCTATGCAACTTCAGCTACGTCAATTGCATAGCTGAAGTCAAAAAACTTAATTTGGCTTTTGGTGCTGTCTACACAGCAGGAAGTCGAAGGGAGGACACTCTTCCTTCAACTTCCCTTACTCCTTGTGGAATGAGGATTACAGGAGTTGGAATAAGAAGTCCTCCAGCTTGACATTATTTCAAAATAATGACATGTACTGTAGATGCGCATTTGTTATTTCAAAATAACGTCAGTTATTCTGAAATACCGTTGATGTGTAGACAAATCCTAAGTGCTTTCCAAAAAGAAAACTTCAGTGAAGGAAGGAATTATTGTTCCCATGCAACAAGTGAATAAATGTAGACTTGTTCAAAGTTACACAGTGAATCAAGTTAGAACCAGGATTTCTGATTTCCAGGTCCCTGGCCTACCTAGCAAGTGGATGCTTTTCTTGCAAGCCTTCTTTACTTATCCTGGTTGGAAGCACTGATAAAGCCCTAAGGGACAGTATGATAACAAACCAAGATTCACACCTTTAATAGTGCAGTTGGATTTTACAGTATTGCCCTGCCATGATGGCCAGAGTGCTAGACGGTGGAGAATCTTCTAAGGCATTCCCAGTCACCAATGGCGTCAAACAGGGCTGTGAACTTGCACCTACACTGTTCAGCATCATGTTTACTGCTATGCTGAATGATGCCTTCCAGGACAGTGTGCCGGAATCAGCCTTAAGTACAGAGTGGTCGGGAATCTTTTCAACCTGAGGAGACTTCAGGCTATCGCCAAAGTGAAAGAGACTGTTCTGAGAGACTTCTTGTTTGCTGACGATTGCGCCTTGTATGCTGGCTCTGAAGCAGAGATGCAAATTAGTGTGGACAAGTTCTGCACAGCTTGTGACAACTTTGGACTCACCATTAACAGCAGAAAGTCCGAAGTCATGTATCAGCCTGTCCCTTATGCACCGTACACAGAATCCACAATCACAATCACAGGGCAGATGCTACAGGCAGTGGACCAGTTTCCCTACCTTGGCAGCCCTCTTTCCCATGCAGCTAACATTGACATAGAAGTCACATGAAGAATAGTGAAGGCAAGTTGTGCTTTTGGTAGACTGAGCCCCACTGTATGGGAACGTCGAGGAATCAGCTGAGCAACAAAACTGAAGGTCTACAGAGCCGTGGTACTCACCACCCTCCTGTATGCCTGTGAAACATGGACTGTATATCAGAGGCACGCAAGACAGCTTAATCACTTCCACATGACTTGTCTTCGCAGAATATTACGCATCAGATGGCAAGACAAAATACCAGACACTGAGGTTCTTTCTCGAGCAAGTTTACTGTCAGTCTACACTCTGCTGATGAGTGCACAGACTAGATGGGCAGGTCATGTCATTCGTATGCCGGACGAACGTAAACCTAAGCAGCTCCTTTTTGGGGAACTCTCTACTGGTAAACGCTCACGTGGTGGACAGAGGAAATGTTACAAAGACACACTCAAGGCCTCCCTGAAGTCGTTCGGAATTGATACAACCATCTGGGAATCGCTGGCACACAACCACCCTGCCTGGCGCAGTCTCATCCACAAGGGATGCCAAGCTCTCGAAACAAGGCGCATCTCTGAAGCACAACACAAGCGCATGCTGCGCAAGTCCAAAGCTACCAGCACAACGATTGCAATGCCTACACGTCTGCCCAACATGTTCCAGGACATTTGGTGCCCGAATTGGCCTGATAAGTCATCTTCGGACACACTGTATCCAATCTCAAAGCACTTAGGGTATGTCTACACTACCCTCCTAGTTCGAACTAGGAAGGTAATGTAGGCATACCGCACCTGCAAATGAAGCCCGGGATTTGAATTTCCCTTCATTTGCATAGGGGGGTGCCCGCCATTTTTAAAACCCCGCTGGTTCGAACCCCGTGCAGCGTGGCTACACGGGGCACGAACTAGGTAGTTCGAACTAGACTTCCTAGTTCGAACTACCTAGTTCGTGCCTTGTGTAGCCGCGCTGCACGGGGTTCAAACCAGCGGGGTTTTAAAAATGGCGTCTCCCCGCTTATGCAAATGAAGCCCGGGAAATTCAAATCCCGGGCTTCATTTGCAGGTGCGGTATGCCTACATTACCCTCCTAGTTCGAACTAGCGGGGTAGTGTAGACATACCCTTAGTGGTGTTGAGGTCTTCATCGA